CACAGATCCTAACACTGCTAACTCCATCCTCAAATACTTGTAATGCCCCGTGATTGCATTCAGAATAAAAACCAACTTCTTTTAAGAGCCTTTTAAGAGCCTGTCATTAATCCCAACTCCAACACTTACTACGTAGCTATAGCTCTCTGGACAAGTAACCTCCTTGTACCTCTATGTACCCCTTTGTAAAAGGAGGATCAGTCCCTTCCCAATAAAGCTGTTTGAAGGGATTAAATGAGTCATGACATACAAAACATTTAGAACTGTGCCTGGCATGCAGAAAACACTCAAACACAGGTTATCACGACTGTCCCACCCTGACCACCTCACCCAACAGACTTTCCGTACTTTCAGAACTTCGTTCATTCCACCCACAGACATGCTGAGTCTTAACCTGTGCGCCAGGAAACGGAGATGCGAACGTGTACAAAAGTGAAAAGTGGTGTGCACATTCCTTCCTCCAGCCCAGGCCCCTAAGCCCTCCTTACCCGAATGCCCCTTCTCCCCTACAGACATCCCACTCAGCCTCACCGTCCAAACCCAGCCCGATAGACCTCTCTGGGTAGAGCCCTTGGTTCTGCCATGGGGACCCATCAGGATGTATCTTCCGATCAGTGAACCTCCCACAGGATTTTCTGACTGTGGTTCATAAATTTCATAAACCTTAATCGTTGTCCTTAAATTATAATTTCTATGCAGATACTACAACGATTCCACTCAAGGAAATGGTGTGATCCCACAATGGAAAAGAATGCCCCATTCTCATCTCTATAGCACCTTCAGAAACACCTTACACATCACATAGGAGGTCAGTGCGTGTTTACTGAATCATTTGTGTTCGAAACATTTATATTCTACAATTATTAGCTAAACTTTAAATTCTGTGATTAAAACAGAAGAAACCTCTGACCAAACTTCTTTACAATACTAGTAATGTTTACGACACCTAATTAGTTTCTCACCTCATCCAAGGACCCAAGCAGCTTACGCAGGGGCTTCGGAGTGCTGACGCTATCCAGTGGAGTGCTGGGCCGAGGCATCGCGTTGGACATTGTCAGGGAAGGAGGTAGCAGTCCTGGAATAAAAACCTTTCCAACCTTTAAGCAATAAGATGTGGAAAAAATACTGGCTTTAGTGAATCATATTCTTAAGTAAAATGTTCTGACATGTAAGCATATTTTTCTTTTGTTATTTCATGTTTTATGCTCACCAAAAATAACTAAATTAAAATTTTAGTAATGCATCAAATTCCACTATCCAACTACAAATACCTTGGTATAATTTCTCTTGATCTGATTCCTCCTCTCATCACTGAGGCTTGTTTTTGTTTTTTTGCAGGAAAGGTGGGAAATGTTAATACAGCCAAGACATTATACAAACATACATAGTACACTATGTATTTTCTACCTTATTGTAGAAAAGACAGCAGGGACACTGAGCTGTCAGGGACTACAAGCAGCTCTTCTGTGAACTACTTCTCCAGGCAGAAAGGAAGAACACCAAGTACTTCCCAAGGGCTAAAAAAATGAGGCTGAGTGATGCTCCAGAAATTAAATCCAACCTAATTCAAGCTGTGCTTTCTAACTTCTGATCTGTCTTCCATCATAAGCTCTCAAATACTTCCTCCTCAAAAAACCTTTACATAAATTCTTCATTGACCTTGAAAGGATGAGTTGACAATCCATGCTAATCAACCCTTATTTTAGCGATTCTTAGGGTTCTCAGGAAAACACAACAGAAATTCACATTCATACAAGCTGAAAACTCTTGATAAAACTAAAGGGAAATACTCAGAACTAAAGAGAAATTTTAACAACTTACATTTCATGTCAATATACTTCCCAAAAGCTAATAAAATTACAAGTTGCCCAAATAAAATCTTTAGGATTAAAAAACAAAGTGTGGGGCCGGCTGAGTGGCTTGTTGGTTAAGACTTGGCTTGGGAGCGCGAGCTCTGAGCAGTGCCGCCGGTTCGGATCCCACATGGGCAAGTGATGCTGCGCGCCATCCACAGCTAAGGTGATGAACAACAGCTCGACCTGGAGCTGGGCTGCCATGAATCATTGGCAATGGCATAGGCTGCAAGGGGCCTGCAGTGAACTGCTGTAAGCTACCGTGAGCAGCCAGCAGCTGCCATGAGCTGCCACGAGCGGCCATCCAATGGCCGGCAACTGGTCTGCCTCAGCTGGGAAGAGCACAATGATCACAATACCAACATGGGCCAGTGAAGCGACGTCCTCCACAACTAGACCGAAGAACAAAAGGACAGCAACTTGTCTGTTCCCCTCCCCCAATTCTCCAATAAAATCTTTAAAAAAAAAAAGTGACAATGAGAACTAGTGCATATATAAAGGTTTTAAAAAGCAATCAAGACTTTGAGGTAATGAAAATACAAAGTAAGCACATTCCAAGATTATTTCTCCCACTACTTCCTACAACAACAAAAAACTGCACAAAATTTTTAATGCAATGTAAGACTCTGAAAGGCAAGGAAAGAGGCTAAGGACCCAAGAACCAGGAATGACCTATGACGAACTTCCTAGGTGTTTGTTTGTTTGTTAGTCTTCTTACATAACCAGGCCTTAGGCTCTCCAGAGGCCTGCAACCGGGAAATGCCAGAGGCACAGACCAAAAGAGGTCCCTTGAAAACCTTGCTCTTTCTAGCCCAGGTGTCCAGAAAAGAATGACCAAGCAGAACAGAAACAGATTCCAGGCAAACACTGGGAACCAGCCATGGCCCTTGGTGGCCTCATCAAGAGCTGTGGTCTGGGGACTTCCAATCCACCTGTGGGAAATAAGTGGGGCTCCCACCCCGACCCCACAGCACAGAGACTGGGGGCCAGGCCGATCCTACAGGTCTGATCTGCAGGGACTCAGCCAGCCTCTTCTCTTCTGTTCCCTCATCAGGCTCTGCAGCTGCAAGACTGAAGCCACAGCCCTGCTTTCAGAACCATGAGCCAGCCCGGTTCCCTCTTAGGGTGTGCAGCCCCTGTGCAGGGGGGTGGCACCCGCTCACATCCTTGTTCCCTATAAGGCAGCACACCTCTCCCTTTCCCCCTGCCCTGTATTCCACCCCACCCTGTGTAACAAGGCAGGCAACTTCTGTGTCCCAACTAGGGACTGAGGGGGAATGGAGAAGAAGGTGAGAGAGAAAAGGATTGTCTAAGGGTGGGTATGAATCCTGGGCAGGCCTCTGAGTGACCGTGTGTGAAGCTGACCAATAACCACACAGTAAAGGACTGGAGAACTAAGCACTGGCCTGTCACACCACTCAGTCCTCATACTGGCCTCTGGGGAGCACAGAGTTGAGGCAGACCACAATCTCATTATGGGAGCAGATAGAAAAATAGGCCCCAGAAATACTGCTCTCCCTGGGTAAAGAATCAGGAAAGGGGTAGCCTAACAAGGCAGAAAACCTTCAGACAATAAGCAGCCTCCTCCAGACAAGCCCCATGGAGACACCAGGGCCCCCTCTCAGCCCTGTCAGCCCTGGCCAAGTGAGGCGCCTAGACTTCCACTCTCACCTAGCTGTAACATGGTACCAATTTGGGGGAAAGTGCTATGGATTAGCAGGAATGTCAAGAAGCTCTGGGAACTCATAGCTGCTGGAGGCCAGCAGGAGGGGAGAGCTTGTAGCAGGTATAACCAAACTCTGGGAAACACCTGGGCAGCACATGGCCGCACTGACTGTGCTCCACTCTGAAGGCGAAGGGACACGTGTAAGGGTTGTTCTAAAGCTTCTTTAGTTGAAGAAACAGGTAAACAGAGCCAGCCGAGTGGCTCAGTTGTTTAAGAGCTCGCTCAAGAGTGTAAGCTCTGAGCAACAGCGGTTTGATTCCCAGCTCAAGCTGAGCTGCCGCTGGGCTGCCAACAGGTAGCAGGATGGCTCAGCTAAAAAACAAAAACAAAGAAACTAACAAACAAAAACAAAGAAACAGGTAAACAACACAAACAACCTCCGTGACTGGTACCATAGTAAACGGTTTCGTATAATCATACAGCAGAATAGTACGTAACAGTGAATGAGGAAACAACAGCTGCACATCCACAGATAAATCTCAAAATAGTATAACGGTGAGCAAGTAAATCAAGTCAGGGAAGAGAACATGGTATGGCCTCCATTATATAAAAATTCAAAAGGAGTAAAACTAAACAATGTACTCTTTATTGATACATTCAAAATAGCAAAAAGGTTGTAGTAAAAACAAGAGACTGACTTATTAGAAAAGCCAGGATGGTGTCATCTGGGGGGTGACGGTACAGGGAGATGAGGATACAATCAGTAAAGAACCCCCAGAGACATTACAGATACTGGCAGCACCCCATTTCTTAACCAGACTTGAGCTTATGTGAATAATCACTTCATTATTCTTCCAACTGTGTATATGTATTTCAATATCGTAATTTCACTTGTAAAATTTATGAGGCTGTATATAAATCTCACACCTGATAAAAAAGATACAGCCAACATACTATACATTTAATATAATGAAACATTACGAAAACTCTGAGACTGAACAAAGCCACCCATATACCAATTTCACAACTACATTCTTTGTAAAACTTCAGTTCAACTCTTTCATTAAAACAATCTACCTAACGCATGAAAAGTTCCCATCTGTGCCGGGTTCCCAGCACCAATCCACCTAAGGGCAGTGAATCCTCGACCTCCACGTTAGGACCAACCTAAATTGGAGACTTCATTTCAACTCTTACAATAAATCCTACAGACAGAAGGTGACAGGCATTAAATAATAAACTAAAGGTACATTACAGAACATCTAAGGGGGCAGTCCTACAGAAGCACAAAGTCTACTCAGCACTTACTCGAACCACCCCTGTGTACAGCACCAGGCTTCCACTGCTTTCCAGGACCAGCATGGCATCTATCTTCTATAAAAGAACAAAGACTGTATTTTCCATTCTGTGCAAACTACGAAGCATAATGACTTTCAACTTCTCAAGAAATGTGCCTGCGTTTACCTCCACTGGCGCTGCATCCTTTGCCTGTATGTTGGTGATGGAGCCAAAGATGAGCTGGGTCTTATCATTGCTCTCTTGAAACTTGACACAGCTGAATATTAAAATAGAAAAGCACAAAGTATTCATACAAAGTATTCACCCTGATCTCAAGGGTGTTATGCTGACTGGAAGAAGCCAATCTCAAAAGGTGACCTAGTGTAGGATTCCATTCACATAACATTTTCAAATGACAACATTACCGAGATGGAGAAGAGATTAGTGGTTGTCAGGGGTTAGAGACACGGTGGCTGTGGCACCGTAACTGTAAAGGAGGAGCACGAGAGAGACTGCTGAGGTAATTAAGAGGTTCTGTAGCTTGACTGTGGTGCCTAAACAAACCTACACATGAGAGAAAACTGCTGGAATCATACACACACACACACACACACACACACACACACACACACACACACGCGCGCGCGCGAGTCCAGTGAAGCCTGAATAAGGTCTGTGGATTGTGCTGGTGTCAATTTACTGTTTGGGTCATGTACTGAAGTTATGTAAGATGTTACCTCTGGGGCAAAAGGTGCGGGGTACATCGGACCCCTCTACTTTTTTGCAACTTCTGTGATTTATAATTATTTCAAAATAAAAAGGTAAATCAATGGGCAAAGATGTGAATTTACATTTCACCTCTGAAGACAAATGACTGGCTAATAAGCACATGAGATGTACATCAGAAGTCATTAGGGAAATGCAAATTAAAGCCACTTCACACCCACTAGAATGGCTACAGTCACAGAGACTGAATCTCCAACCTTCTCAAAGATAAAGAAAGGGACCCCTGCAACGTGCCTGGTGGGAACAAAGGGGGCCCTCCAACGTGGCTGGTGGGAACAAAAGGGATGTAAAATGGAGCAGCCTATCTGAAAAGAGTCTGGCCATCCCTTAAAAAGTTGAAAATGCATTTGATCCAACAATCCCACTCCTAGGTACCTACCCAAGAAAAAGAAACCATGTACACCCACACAAAGACTTGCACTCCAATGTTTGTAGCACCATAACATACATGATCATAAAGCAGGAACGGACCAAATGTCCCTCAACTGCTGAATGGATAAACCAAACGTGGCACATCGCACAGGGAATACAACCACAACAGGAATAAAGCATCACATGTGCTTCAACATGGCATGTCCTGAAAATCTTTATGCTATGTGAAAGACGCTAGACACAAAAAAACTGCACTTTGAATGATTCCATAAAATCAGGAACGGCAAACCCACAAAGGCTGAAAGCCTACACATGGGTTGCCCGAGGTTGGGAATGGAAACAGAGATTGACTTCAAATCAAACACAAGGGATCTTTTTAGGGTGACAGAAAATTTTACAACTAAGTTGTGGTGATGGCTGCATAACTCTGTAAATTTACTAAAAATCATTTAATTGTACACTTACAACATGTCAATTTTATGCTATGTATATTATTTCAATAAAACTACTAAGAAAGAAAGAAAGGAAAGAAGGAAGGAAGGAAGGAAGGAAGGAAGGAAGGAAGGAAGGAAGGAAGGAAGGAAGGAAGGAAAGAGGGAGGAAGGGAGAGAGGGAGGGAGAGGGGAGGGGAGCAGCCCTATGTTTACTGACACAATACCAAGGGGAACACACACTTACCGTAACTGGAGCTGGGACTCTACCAAAAAGCACAAAAACTTTTGCCCACATAGATCAGATGTAATAAACACTTTTGAAGCCTGTGAATTTTTCTCTCTGCAATAGATACATTAATGAAGTAACTGTCAGCAATGGTTCAAAATTCTACCACTGTAACGATTAAAAGTGCTTGAAAATATTCTGTAAGAAATAACAAGTACATGGGCCAAACTATAATCTTGAAGACCCCAAAACACTTTTAAGATTTGACTTTCATGATCTCTGAGATCCCTTTCAGCTCTCTGATGCTGAGTCCATGCCACACACAGCTTTTGGGGAAAATCACAATAAGTTTAATCACTATCAGTGGACTTGTTACTTCCATACTATGCACATTACCTACTGCTAAAGTAACACAGACTTGGATCCCTACCCCTTCAAGGTCAAAGGGGTCAGACATTTGATCAAACGCCCTCTCCTACCTCTCTCCTTGGTCACTCACATTAGGCTCTCCTTCCTCGCCCTTTGTAAACCATACCTCTCATTCCCGAAGGTTTCTTCCTAGAGTGGTACGCAAGACCAAACATCTGTAACTAGGGATCTGCAAGAGATTCAACTTGCCAATAAGGTATTGAAAGTCAAATGCCTTTAGGTGTAGGAAATACGTCTTTTCTGTAGGAAAGACGCAAACAGAGAAAGAAGCCAGCTCAACACTGCACTTGCACCTTTACTTTCCTCCAAGGACCTGCCCCTCCCCATCCCAGACCCTGCATCTGCCTTCTGTTTCACAGAGCAGCAGGCTGTCAGGTCTGAGCTCAGCCTCCCACCCTCTATGCCCTAGAGTCACCCCCTTCCAATCTCCCCAGCTCATCTCTCCTCTTGTGCTCCTTGCAGCTTCCTTGTCTACCGTCATCATTTCCTTTCCCCTGTATTTTCGATGCTTTCCCTGCTTTGGGAACAGGCCTCATAGCTGACTCTCTCATATTAAGATACAAGTCTAGAAATACGAACATGGATCGAGTATTAGATCACATGAAGGACTTCATGTCACCTGGCTGGATGTGAAAATGGCATTGTGCTGGGGTAAGACAATGTCCTTATGTTGAAGACATACACACTGAAGCGTTTGATCATGAAGACGAATTTTCTTCAACCAGTTCAGAAAAACCTCAGTCTTGACGCTGACACTCCATCTGGCTCGTTGTGTAACCTCGGCCCCATTCAAAGGCAAACTCCTCAAGGCACTCCGTGCGTCTCTGTTCATTCGGACAGCCCCACTGACTCCCTCCAGCCCACTCCACACCACTGCACGGCCCCACACCCCAGTGCTCTGGCCAGCGTCACCAGTCAACCCACTGCCCTGCAGGTACCTGCCTCTCTGAGCTCACCTCTGAGTGCCACACCTCACCGGGACCTGGCAACTGTCTCACTATTTGAAAGGCTCTCTTTCCTTGGGTTCCGTGACATTGATTTCCTGCTGCTCTCCCGCCTGACCTCTCTTACTTTGTCTCTCTGCAGCAGCTTTGTCTCTTTTCTCTTGTCACCCAGAAATTTCAAGTTTTCCAGACTTCAGGCCTCTCCTGGTCCTACACCACCAGCTTTTAACCATAGGAGGGTCACAGACGTCCTCTGAGAATCTAAAGACAGTGAACAAAATCTCTTCTTAGGATAGGGCCGACACACGCCAACATACACGTGAATAGCATGCACGGGCAAGACGGCCACCAGAACCCCTGCAGCCACAGGCTCCCCCACAGGCCCTCCAGGACCCTGATCCCTACACACTCCTTAAATTCCAACCCAAGTCTCCTGCCTCCATCGCCAATGATCAGCACACAACTCCCTGGTTTATCGCTCTGCTCCTTCCCCTCTTTACACCCACACACAAAGCCCCTTCTCACAGCCCTCATCAAGCGGACCAGCCCTAAAAACCAATCTTCTCATGCCTCCCCTTTCTTAGCCCCTCCTCTTCCCCGTGCCATAAGGAGAGGGAGCGAATCTCTGGTCCCCTGAACACACCGTACGCACCCACACTGTTCAACTTCTCTTCCGATGCCCTCTGCCTTCTGCACTTCGCTGCCCACCAAATACCTACTCATCTTTCCAAAGCCCCACCAGCGGGACAGGCAGTGTCTTCTGTGTCACCACCCTTCTGTGTCTCCCTTTGAGGACACGGACAGTGACCAATCTGCCTGCTGACACACAGGCACTAGCACACACACACAGGCACTAGCACACACACACCTCGACTGGCTGAATTAATGAAAGAATTCTTACAGAGAACATAAAAGGAAAAGGAAAGGTCACAAAAAACAGAGGTCTGAACTGTGTTTCCCAAAAAGAACAGCTAACACTCAACAAGCATGTAAAAAAAACAAAACAAAAAGAAAAACAAACTGACCTTAATAAAAATGCTCTGGAATCCCAAATGTCCTGTTCTACACAAATGAGTAATTTCTCCCTAAAACATCAAACAGCTTGAATCTGAGGGATTATTACCAAGTTAGGGAAGACATAGCAAAGCACGAAAAATATTTTTATGGTCACTTTAATATCATTAATGTCCTCTAGTGAAACACAGGTGGCCTTAATACAGATCTGAATGTGTTTTTATCAGTACTAATAACTGAGTATGCTAAAGGGAAGCTTAAGTAAAACCCTAAGCATTTTCTAAGACTTTTAGCAACATTTTTCTTTGAATACAAAAATGTATACTCCAAACCTCATGCTGGTAATCGCTTCTGTCCATAAATGGTCAATACACAGTTCGGGAACAATCGGTTCTGTTTCTGGCACGAGGAAAGAGCTGTTCGAATTACTGCTTGGAGACTGGGAAACACTGTGTCTCCTTGGAGACTGACTGTGGCTTGAAAGGTTGAACCTCTGCACCCCTGAAAAAGAGTGCGCTCCTAAGGCGGGGGAGTGAGCACGGCTGCATGACAAACAGAGGAGAGAAGGCGTCACAATCAACACACGAGCTAGTGTCACACACTGTCCAACAGCACTTTCCAAATTCTGTGTAGAGGAAGCATACCGGAACAGTCCCAGTCAGAAAGACGAGTTTTTAAAAAAGGAATAGCTACTTAAATGTGCTTTACTACATTCTTGTTAGAACTCATTGTCTTAAAACTAAAAATTAGTTTATTTTTTGTTTCAGAAAATGAATTGTTTAGATTCTTCAAAAAGGTCTAAACAATGTTCCTGTATATTCAGACATAATACAAACCAACAAAACTATGTCCCTATGTCACTAGACAGATAGGTAGATGACTGAGAGATGACACACAGAGAGAGGTAGACAAATACACAAACAGAATGATAGACGAAACAAAAGAAAAGCTAATGCAAATTAAGACAAAATAGTACCAAAATATATTTAAGATCAATATTCATCAAACTGCTGCCACTTAGTGGTAGAAATGAGGCAACCAGTCTTATGACAAGAATCAGCAGCCATCCAATGGGACTCCTTGAAACAGGTAACACAGGAGGCCTGGAAGTCTTAGGAAAAGCAACACAACTGTTTTAATGGCTGTCTCCCCTAAAAAGTACCCAAGAGCTGGCAACAGAAACTGTAAATCCCTCAAAACTAAAGGAAAGCATGAAAAGCACACATCAGTAAACTAAGTAAAACAAGGGCTAACTCAATAAAACAAGGGCACACCACACTGCGTCCCACCTGAGAGCCGCCATGTTGGAGATGGAAGGAGAACGAGAGTGCAGACTGGGTGAGGAAGTAGAGCGACTCTGACTGTGGACGGAGGAGTAATTCTGGAAAGGTGAGCCCACGGGGGAGTCTCCTTTGGAGAGGCTTCGGAGGTGTGCTGTGAGGGAGCTACTCGTGGGCACATTCTGGGGGGTTCCCCCCTGTTCAGAGAACTTTAAAACAACATTCTCTTCCTTAAACCAAAATGAACAGAAGGGGAAATAATAATCAGATGAAAAGAGTAATTTCCTGGTAAAAATTCAGGGTAAATTCAAGTTATTACAGACACAATATTTCTTTTTTCCTAATAAGCTCAATCCATTTCACACACAATTCCCCCAAACACATGAAAGTTTTCCGTATTAAAGACCCATTACCCTCACCTCTGCTCTGACTCTCCGAAGAACCCACACAGAGTGCAGGCTCTGAACACTGTCGTACGTCATCACAATGGAGGGCTCAGTGCTGAGGAACACTATTTTCATGGTATGATCTACAACGTACTGCACCCGTGATGAACCAAAAAGACCTTCAGGATAAAACAGAGAAAATCAAGCTTTGAACAATGGACTTTACAAAGCTTTTCTCTATCAAAAGACTTCACCCAATTCCTAAAGACAACGAGAAACCAAGCCAATCAAGGCACAAAATCCATCAACATACCAATTAATTAACCCTGCACTGTCCATTAACTACATTGAAGACGATGAGTGTTACCAATTTCGACCTCACATCCATGCAGTTAAATGATGAAGTGCGTGTGCCCCACCCTTACACTCCTGGGCCATAGGAAAAAGAAGGCCAGACTCCTTCATCACCAACTTATCTATGAATCGCAATCACCTATTCTGCTATGTTTGCCTTCTTCACTGGTCCTTTCCTTTGATCATGAAGTCCGTCCTCTATAATAACCATTCAAATGTGCTGAAAAGGACACCTGTATCTGCTTTACTAGTGACATATGCAAAATAAAGTTTTCCAAGTGAGGTTAGCATCTACTATTATAGTGCCAGGAATTGATTTCTAGGTCCTCATCCAACAGCTTCCTAAATGCCTCCCTCTCAGGTAAAACATTAAATAATAAAAATATATATTATTTTATAAAAATAGTAAGTACTTTAAAAAATAAAAATCACTCATAATCCCATCTAAAAATATCCACCATTAATACATTAGGGAGTATTCCGGTTTTTTCTCCTATACATGTATACATACTTCTAATGTTTTTACAAAATTAGAATCATATTGCATTTAGTTTTATATTCTACTTAACATTAGGAATAAGCAATTTCTGAGGTCATTAAATAGGATTCAAAAACATGATCAATAATGGCCGCATACCATTCAGTCACAGGTCCTAGCATGTCTATTAAGGTTGTCTGTAATTGTTACCAATAAAATGGAGAATTACCAACACACTTTTTCTGTAAAATACCAAAGATTAAGTAGCCTAGGCTCTGTGGACCACTTACTGATGCTTCTGCACAATCTCTTTTCTTTTCTTCTACAACCCTTGAAAAAGGCAAAAACCATTCTTAGCTCGTAAGCCTTAAAAAAACAGGCTGGGGCCGGCCGAGTGGCGCGATGGCTAAGAGCTGGCTTGGGACGCCAGAGGGCCCCGGTTGGGATCCCACATATGAGGGCCAGTAACACTGCCCTCTACAGCTAAGATGCTGAACAACAGCTCAACCTGGAGCTGGGCTGCCGTGAGTCGCCGGCAATGGCATAGGCTGCAGCCCCTGTGGCAGTGGGTTGCCAGGGGCTTCCATGTGTAGCCAGCAGCCAGCGTGAGCGGCCAGCAGCCGCAGTGAGCGGCCATCCAGAAGCCAGCAACTGATCTGCCTCGCCCGGGAAGAGCACAATGATGGTGTCAACTTGGGCCAGTGAAGCAACATCCTCCACAACTAGACTGAAGAACAAAACGACAGCAATTTGTCTGTTCCCCTTCCCCTAATTCCCCAGCACTGTTCCCTTCTCCCCAATACCCCAATAAAAATCTTAAAAAAAGAAAAAAAAACAGGCTGTTGGGTGGATTTCGCCCAGGGCTGGAGTTTGCCAAGCCGACATAGAAGATAAAAACCTCAGTGGCATTTCAAAATATGTACCTGGGATAAAGTCCTAAAAGTAAAATTGGTCAGAAAGTATAAATACTTTTTGAGCTTTCAAGTCCTTATTATTTATAATTATCTATCACATTTGGCCACATTTAAATTTTTAAAATAATCACCTTGAAGTACCTATAGGAAATGTTAGTAATAGTTCTGAGCCCCAGCAAATTAAGTTGCTATGAGCAGGGAAGATGAAATACTAAAATTTACAAAGTACAGGCTTAGGAACCTGTATTTTCTCTTCAAAAAAAAATGTTTTAATTCATCTAAGTATCATTTATTAGCTTATTAATTACTGAGGAACAGAGTCCAGAGTCTTCTACAGGTATGTCAGCAAATCTATGGGGTTATTCTGCTCGGCTTATAGACCCTACTTTTAGGAAAAGAATAACTGTTAAAACAAACAGTATTCAAAAAGCTCTTACTTTAATATGAATTATTTTCATAATCAAAAAGTTATTTTTGTGGGGCTGGCCAAGTGGCTCTGAGCAACAGGGTCGCCAGTTCAATTCCCACATAGGCCAGTGAGCTGCACCTGAGCTGAGCTGCCACTGAGCTGCCAACCAGCAGCCAGATGGCTCAGCTGGTGAGAGCACGTGCTCCTAACAACAAGGTTGCCAGTTCAACTCCCGCATGGGATGGTAGGCTATGCCCACCCACAACTAAGATTGCACACGGCACCTTGAGCTGAGCAGCCGCGAGCTGCTGAGGGGCAGCCGGATCACGACTGGATTTGGAGCTGAGCTAGCTGCACCCTCCATAACTAAGATTGAAGGACAACAACTTGGCTGTTTCCCTTCCCCAATTCCCCAACAAAAATCTTCAAAGAAAAAGTAATTTTTGTAAAATGCTTAAATTATTTTGTAAAACAAGTCAAATTTTCCTAAGTGCCTTCATTTTCTCCTCCCAACACAACAAAGGAGCTATACAACAGTTTATAAAAATACACTTACTTCCAGATTTACACACGAGTGGGGTTATTTCATCTAGTGGATGCAGCATGCTGAACATGGTGGGTAAAGGTTCTCTAGTAGTAAACAACAAATAGTCAATCAATTACCAACACAAGATGCCTCCATTTGTACATAAACTTTGCACTCTCCTGGCAAAGAAATATCTTCTCCAGATCACGCCTGCAACTAGACCCCGGCCATCTCAAAAAGCAATCTTCTAAACTGTTACATACTGTTTTTCACAGTATCTTCTAATTTATTCCTAGCAACCTCTCCTCTTAGGCAGGGGAATCCTAAGCAAGCACACACAGAGGGAGCTCAGCACAGCCCAGGGACTGTCTACACATAGCCGTCCTCACATTACAGACCCAAGCGGGGAATGGCCATAAGGCAGTCTGGGTTGGTTTGTTTTGTTCTGGTTTGTAACCTCGCTTAGTAGCGGTGTGTCTTTGGCAGCTAAAAAAGAAATTTTGTCTCCTACGCCTATTTACAAAGAAATGCGCTTAAAGAGAAAAGAAAAGAAAAGCTTCCAGTCAATAAAAAGGCTGCCCGTCTTGAAAATGAGTGGTAGAAAAAAGTGGAAGAAACCAGGCCTTCTATCTCAATACAGAAATGGAGTAAAATCTATGAGCCATTTTCTCCCCTCAGTGTCTACTCCTTGCACCACCCTGACATGGGTCCTGTGCGTCCCTGCCCTTTAGAGAGCTCACAACCCACTCGGACACAGGGAAACACACCACCAATGAACACCTCCTGTTTCTTGCACGCCTAAGATGTACTAAGCCCTGTGTCCAAGATGGTTCACATCAGCTCACTGAACCCTGCATAAATCCTAAGGGGTAAATGATACTATTTCTGTAACAAATTTTTAAAAAATGACAGCTAAGAAAGCCCTCATGATTTGCCCAAAGTAGTACAATGAAAATATGGCAGCGCTAAGAATTGAGTCTTGTTATCTTTAACACATCAACTTGTTCAATTTTACTACTTGGGAGTTAAAAACGCTGTAGGTGATTCAGCACCAAGTGAGGAGAACTCACATGTGTACAATAATGAGATAAGAGAAAGTGGCACAGATCTGTGCTGTTACCATGGAAATGGTCATTATCCCAAACTCTTTGGTAAACAATTTTACCGAAGAACCATCACAAAGAAGCCCAAATAATAATATCCTGAACCAAGTGGACTAAATACCTGGGTGGACCTGGAGGTACCTCATGTGAAGAGCTGCTTCGTTCAAACAACAATCCATATTTGGTGGGCCAAACATTTGCAACCTATCAAGAAAAAGGGGGGAAAACACAGGTAAAGGAAGCTACTCTTTAGAACATGTTTTAGGAAACATGTTAGAGCATTAGATTTTCTTCCAATTCAGTAAGTGTTACAAAATAACATCAGTTACTAAAAATTTTTTTTTAAGTAATTCTAACAAGCAAGTCTAAGACAAAATCAAATCTAAGGAAGAGTTCAATCTGAAATTCCTGCAAGGGGCTGATATTAGCACTAGTCATGAAAAAGATGATGAGAAACAGGAAAAGACTAATATTGCCATGTGATTTACTACAAGCAAAATGATTTATTTACCAGTTAAACCAAAAAAAAAAAAAACTCTCTGAAAAGATGTCATTAAATTATTTTTTATGCAGAGGATAGAAAAATGGTAAGCAACAAAATCTAAATATTAGTTATTTTATTTGCATGAAAATAACATTAGTGATTACTACAAGACATAAGAGTAGCACTGCTTCTGAAAGCAATTAATTCAAGAATAATCTCCAACCAAACACAAACACATAGAAACACTCAGGTTTACCTGAAAAGGTAAAGAAGCTATGTAATCCTTTCCTTCTATGCTGTGTATGTTAATACACGAGCTCTGCAATATACATATGCATTTCTCTACTTCATCACTACCTGAAAGAAAGGGTACAAGAAGATAGGTGCTTTTGTTTCAAAGCTACCCCCAACAATCACAAATTACAATTCCCAACAGCACAAATTCTTTAATAAACAATATAAAATGCTTGGCTAAACCACTCTGTTAGTGGCTACTTATTTTCAACAAAAAACCCATGGGAAACACAGTCATAAGATACAATAAAACTTCAAAAAGAAACTTACTGTAGGCTTTTTCAGACTTGTCCTGTGATACAATGAAGTCACACCACAATGCCTAAAATTAAAACAAAGTACTCTTCTAAGAAAACTGTACATAATAAGTCACTAATGGTATCTTAATAATAATTATGACATCTACCAAACAACTGTCTTTCTTCATGAGCTCAACACATACAACATGGGAACAGAAAAGAGTTAAGATAAAATTAGACAATTAATGATACATATAAGGAAAGATAAACTATGTTTGCAAATAAATTTTATGAAAAGGGAAGGAAAAATAAAAATAATCTAAATAGAAGCCTTGCAACAAAAGTGAACTCAAACAATGGCTCAACCTGTATTAAACCCTGTATCCTATATAAAGTGCAAGATTATCAGAAGAGCTGCAAATTGCCAACCTAGTTAATGATCTCCAGATTTTCTTCATTCTTAGACCTTCCTAGACTTACCTGGTTTAGAAACATCTTTAGGAAAACTAACATTTCCCTTTCCTAAAAAGCCAGTCAACTTTCACTGGGATGCTTGACAATCACTTACTAAAATTATATAATGGCATTTTATAGGTTTTTTTAAATTGTGGTATAATATATTGGGTTGTCAGAAAAGTTATGATGCATGTTTGCAACAGAAGGCACTAGTTCATTTTTGAAAGTACTAGAGTCATTCACATCTATATTATTGCTATGTCATTTGACAGCTGACAGTTCTAGCATTATTCTAAAAAAAAAATTGAGTGATTTGGTTGAGTTTTGGAGATTTTACAACAAGTTGAAGATGGAAGACCAAACTGTGCATTTTTGCCATATTTTATTCTTTTACTTCCATCAAGGGAAGAACGCGTGTCAAGTTTGTGAAAAGTTGCATAAAGTTTACAGTGACAATGCTCTACAAGAACATCAGTGCCAACGATGGTTCACGAAATTCCGTGCTGATGATTTTGATCTCAACGATGCTCTTCGGTCAGGGAGGCCCACCGAGGTTGATGACAACAAAATAAAGGCATTGATGGAGTCAAACCCACGTTACAAGACACGAGAGATAGAAGAAACATTGAACATCCATCATTCAAGCATTCACAACCACGTAAAGAAGCTGGGATATGCAAGCAAGCTCGGTATTTGGGTTCCGTATGAACTCAAAGAAGTTCATTTGACGGGGCGTATAAACATCTGGAATATGCTCATTAAACGTAAGGAAAATGATACTTTTTTGAAGCGACTGATAACTGGTGATAAGAAGTGGACTGTTTACAACAATGTGGTGTGCAAACAGTCTTGGTCCCAACATGATGATTCGCCTCAAATGACATCGAAAGCAGACATTCATCAGAGGAAGGTTATGCTCTCAGCATGGTGGGATTTCAAAGGTGTCATGTTTTTCGAGCTCCTACCAAGGAACCAAACAATCAATTTGAATGTGTACTGTCAGCAATTGGATAGTTTGAACGAATCCATCATCCAGAAACGTCCAGAGCTCGTTAATCATAAAGGAGTTGTGTTCCATCACGACAAGGTGAGACCACGCACAAGTTTGATCACCTGTAAAAAATTATTGGAGCTTGGATGGGATGTATTGCCACACCCACCATACTCGTCTGACCTTGCGCCGTCAGACTTCTACTTGTTTCGCTCTCTTCAAAACTCCTTGCGTGGTATAACATTCAATTCAGATGAGGTTGTAAATCAGCACCTTGTTCAGTTTTTCGCAAAAAAAGACAGGTCCTTCTACAAACGAGGAATTATGAAGCTCACTGAAAGTTGGCAAAAGGTTATCGAACAAAATGGGCTATATATCATTGATTGATCTTTGTTCTTTATATAAATAAATGACCTTTGAATTTGAAAAACAGACAAAATACATCATGACTTTTCCGACAACCCAATACATAACAAAAAATTTACCACTTTAACCATTTTTAGTGTATGAATTCAATGGCATTAGGTATACTCACAAAGTTATGGAACTTTGATGTTATCCATTTCCAGAACTTTTCCATCATCCCAAATAGCAACTGTCTATTTAACAAAACTCCACATTTCTCCCTACCCCCAGCCTCTATTTTCCTTTCTGTCTCTATGAATTTGCCGACTCAAAGGACCGCACGAAAAAGTCCTGCTGTGTCTGCCTCATGTCACTCAGCATCACACCCCCAAGGCATATCCATGCTGAAGCGTGTCAGAATTTCCTTCTTTTTAAAGGCTGAAAAATATTCCTTTGTAGGCATGTATCCCGTATTATTTATCCATTTATCTGTCCACAGACACTTGGGTTGTTTCCACTTTGTGGCTACTGTGAATAATGCTGCTGTGAACACTGCTGTACGACTCTGTATTTGAGCCCCTGCTTTCAATTCTTTTGTGTGCACACCTGCAAGGGGAATGTCTGCATCACACGGTGACCCTAGCTCTAACTTTTCCAGGAACCAAATTCTTTCCCACAGTGGTCTTTTTACTTTGCCACCAGCAATGCACAGGTTCCAACTTTTCACCATCCTGACCAACACGTGTGATTTTCCTCAGTTGTTTAATACCAGGCGTCCTAGTGGGTGTGAAGTGGTATCTCACTGTGTTTGGATTTGCATTTGCCTAATGATTAATGATGCTGAGCATCTTTTACCAGTTCATTGGCCATCTGCACATCTGCTTTAGAGAAATGTCCATTTAGGTCCTCCGCGGGGTTTTGAATTGAATTGGATTGTTTTGGTTATTATTATTGAGTTGCAGTTTTTAGTGCCATTTTAGCAGATGAAAAACCAGCATGAAAGCCGCACTCTGATCTGAAATATCCAGAGTCTAAGCTGTCCCTGTCACCATCTTAGCTTCTTTTTATGAAGTCCCACCCTCCCAGCTCTGAACAACATAGCATTTTCACACTCTCCTTTATCCCGATGGCTCTGAGATCACCAGCCCCCTGCACATGTCCCTCAGCTCTGTCTCTCACCTCTCTCTTCTCTTTATTCCCGACACCAATCTCTTTCACCCAAACTGTCACAAAACAGTGTCCCAGGCAGCAGTCCCTCTACTCCACAGCCAATGCCACCTACTGCTACCAAAGTAAAATCTTCTCAAAATACGCAACTGAAGATGCACTTTCCATTTCAAGGTCCTTAGTAGGCTCCTTCTGCATACAGTTCGCAGTCTGAGTTCCCAGGTGCATACAAGGCCCTTCACTTTGGTTCCACCCAGCACCTGCGAGCACCTCTCCAAACCCACACCCTGTGTGCAGCCATTCAGAAGTTAGACAAAGGCATGCTTTTCCATAATTCTTTTTGCTGTGAATCCCTCTGCCTAGAAGGCCCTTCTTTACAAACTTCCAATTCAGTGTCTTCTTTGACAAATCTTCCCATCAGAGGTCTGGCCCCCTAGCTCTCACCACACTGTGGACACACAGCTATGACACGGCACTTCCGTTTATCTGAATACAGCATTTCAGTGTATCTGTCTATTTGTTCACCGTTCTACACCATGAGGTCTTCCATGGCACAAACTGTAGCTTCATCTTTGTTGCCCCAGCACCCAGCACTCTGAGACAGTGATGCTAAACGCTTGCAGAATGAATGAAGGAATAAACTAAATCTCGGTTACATGCACCTTATATTATGTCTAACTGAAATATAAAATTCTCTTTCTCCGTACTAGCAGGAAGTCTACATAATAATGTTTTCCAGAGTGAAAGGAGTGAATTTACAAAGCTTAGGATATCACAAGGAATCTTAACATAAAGGAGACAACAGAAAGAAGACAATATGCCTGACTGCATATCTAGGGAACCTAGTACACAAGCAGGCATGCCTCGGAAAAATGAAGACAGAAACACAGGAGCAAACAACTGTCTGGACCTCATCAGGCCACTTTTCACATCTACACTAACCATATGCGTTCCATCGCAGAAAATTATCATCAAAAAGATCACTGGCTTCAACTCTCCTGGACAGAAATGCTTTTTATACATGCCCTCAAATTTTGGAATAATTCCCAATGTGTTGGTACAAGAGTACGATGTTCATCAGGATACAGTTAATGAGGGAAACAGCTAATAAGCAGTGTCCAGGGACCAAGATTTCAGAGTTTACCAGTAAGGAACTTAACACTAGTCAAAAAGCCTCAAAACCTCCTGTCATAGCCTAACAATTAATTCAACTACTATAAATGTATTCATTTTCCCCCAACATTTTATTCTAAAACCTTTCAGAAAGAAAGCTGAAATAGTTCAGTGAACATCTGTGCCACCTAAATCTAACATTTATTAACATTTTCCCACGTGTGCTTCTGCGTGTACACTTGTGTGCAGGTGGGATGGGGGGTGGGGGGAGTTAAAGAGCTGAAAATTGCACACATCATGACAGTTCATCCCTACATACTTCATCACGCATTTCCCAGAAACAAAGATATTCTCCTATATAACCACAGAACCATCGAACTGTCTGAGAAAAAAATTTTTCTAACATCACCTAACATCCAGTCCATTTGCAACTTTTTCAAATTTTCCCAAAAACGTTTTTTTAGCCCATTTTCTAGAACAAGGATTCAAAGTTCATTCAACAAGGTACAAAAAACAAGAAGGTACATTTGGTGATGTTGTTTTAGTCTCTTCTAGCCTAGAACAGTCCCCACCTTAGACCACAATGTGGACTGTCCCATACTCTGGATTTCTCTGATTGTTTCTTCTTGGTGTTTTTTGCCTTTAAGTTTTCTTAAAGAAAACTTCCAGAAAATTTCGGAAAATTACAGAAAATTTCAAATGTATACAAAGTAAACAGAGTAACCTAATGAATTCCCATCAGCCAGCTTCAATAATTATCAACCTCTGGCTGTTTTTGTTTCTTCTGTACCTCCAACCCATGCCTCATATCTCATGATGTTTTACAAATCGATCCACTAGCTCCCATGTTTCCTGTCACTGGAAGTTAGGTCTTCATGCTAAGGTCAAACACCTGGGGGAGGAAAACTGAGTAGGTGCCATCGGGTCTTCATGCTGCATTACGCCAGTAGGTACACAGATTCTGCTGTCCCCCTATTAGGGATGGTAAACCCCACCACGTGATGGAGGAGACCAGTGCATAGCTCCACAGCAGGCACACATTTCTTCCCTCCCCGTCAACAAGCAATCCCCAGCAAGACATCCTGCTGCCATGCTAACAACTTCTCACTCAGTGGCATTTGTATCCATTTCCAATCCTTGTCTGAATCAATGATTGATGACATTGGTGGGAACAAAATGGTGATTTTCTAATTCTACTGTTCCTTCTATATTTATTAGCTGGCATTCTTCTATAAATAATGGAGATGAACTGTATGTCTTCCTTAAAAAGCAGAGCAAATGCTTAATTCTTTAAATTGCCAATTTTTAGACTAGCGTTAGGTGTAACAGCCAAGTGCAATGACAGCAAATTAGTTTTTCTCCTTTCCCTTTCTCTCTAAGTATTACTATAAACCTGAATTTTATTTATTCAGTGCTTTACAGTCAATTATCATCATGTGTTACATTATTCTTGTAATTTCAATGTCTTATACATTTTTATTGACAATATTAAATTGAATTACTCAAGGAGAGTATTTAAAGATTATCATCAAATTGATAAGGAATCGTGTTAAAAAAAGTGGTGATACAGAAAATAAATGAAAATTTTCTTTTCCTACCATTATCTTCACTACATGTTAAAATGGAAACCCAGCTGCTGAGATCATTATGCTGTTTTTATCATTTCTCTTAAATTTTACAACTAAAGCTTTCTAAAAAGTGTTAATCAAATGCTAAAACTCAAGTGAACTCACCTGTTGAACAGGACTGTCAACTGTAAACGCTTTATAAACGGCCAGTGCCTGGCTTTTACTTCCTTTGCTCCAAATCACCATATTTCCAGCCACATAGAGTTCCTCATCATAATCCACTTCTTCTCCGATTTCACTTATGCCTTTCCTTAACTGCCAGCTTTCCTTCAAAATTAACACAGTTGTAATACAGGTTCAAGCACAGGGTTTTTGTTTTTGTTTTTTTCAGTAGTATGAAGCAAGATTTGTTAATTAAATCAAACAACCAACCAGATACAAGTCTCCCACTCTGTCTGTGCCTATGGAGTAAGACTTAGTCCCAGCCAAACCCTTAAAAGGTGAGGTGCCACCGATGGACAGAGTGGGGGTGTGTGGGTTTGTGTGTTATCTGTCGTACAGGATTTCATGAACAAGAACTGACTCGCGAAGTCTCTATATAAGTGTTTTATATTAGAGTACTACATTATGCTGCCCAAAATATAAACAAAGAAAAATCACACCTTACCTATATATCAAAAAATGAAACCCACGTGCTTAGGAGACTATAAAGACACAGTAAGCATATGGGGGGGAGGGGGCAGTGACAGAGAGGACAATGAGGTGCACGTGGGAGCACCAGGGGAGTCTATGCGCCATGCAGACTTCCCTGCTTCCCAAGTGCAGGGACACTAACTTTCGTTCTCTGGTCCCAACCACCCAAATAAGCGAGACAGAAAGGTATAGATTGCTAACTTCCCCTCCCTGAGATGTTGGTATCCCAAAACGGATATGAAAATGGAATAAGATGAGAAAGGCTGATTTTCTGACACACACTTACATCCCATCCGCCTACCTAAGAACTACTTACTACTATAGCTACTTCAATAGCATTTCTTTTCTCCTCTAGACACACATAAGTTTTTGCAGCAGGGACCATTCCTAACTCTACTATCAGCAAATAACATGAAATCTGTTCTCTACATTCTAAATGAAGAGAAAGAGGTTGAAAATGGACCATAATCAGACTGACGCTCATGATAAAACCATGAGTTATATAATGTCTAAAGAAACAGCCATGACAACGTATACGATAAGCTCATTATTTTTAGCCTTGATAAAAATGACCAAATCTTAGCCTCTACCCAAGAAGTAGCATCATACTCTTTTCTCACTTGCATCTGGGTACCTTAAATTACAAGTAGACTGCATCACTCTACATTTCAAAAACAGAGTGAGAAACTTAACGGAACCTTGTGTTTCTCGTGGATTGTAACCTCCTGAAGAGATCCCACCAAGCCAGCAGCACCATCAGAAGACCGGAACTCAGAGGCTGGCTGCAGCTGGCGAAGCTGAAGGTTCAGAGCGTTAGGGTGGTGCCTGCAGTGGTCTCGACCGAAAGGAGCAAATTCCTGCAAATCCCCAGCTGCAATCATTGTTGCCCTGTCTTCATACAAGTTCGACATGGGTTCCAAATATCAACATTATTTCTGTATGAATTCAAACACATTCTGGTCAGATGTTAGGGTCAAACTCAAAATAAAAATATCATGAAAGTTTACAAAAGAGTCCTTAATTTTTAGGTGTCACATAATCCTACCACATTGTAAGTGTGCAAGTGATCATTATATCAAAGAAAATTCCAGATCTGACTCTTTCAGGTAATTACAGTTATCATTTTATAGTTACACTGTCATTCCATAATTAACATTACAGTTCCTTTTTTGTTGCAGACAGATCAACAGTTACCACTGTAAGAAACCACTGGGATGAGACAAGCACTTACATCCCAAAGTACCTATCCTATGTTCCTACCATTATACATTAATTTTTCTACATTTAACACTGAAGTCTTTAGACAAGTTGTACTTTATAGTCCCATGACTTCCCAGCTCTCAATGTTTAATGTTATTTCTGTTCAGATCCTGGAAACTCATTTGAAATGCACACCTAAAGGATCACTGGCATATTGAAATAAACAAAGTGAACTCACATATATCTTCTAACTCATCAAAAGTTGAACCACTGCTTTAATAAGCTATCACGTCATCAGTAATTCTGACACCCCAATCCACATAAACATATAACTGTAATCAATTCCAATTTTTGGTCGAACCCAAGGAACTAAGGCACGAATAATTCTGACCATGGAACAGTCATGCTTGTTTGCAATTTAAGAGTTCTACTTTTAATTAACATAATCTATTACAGTTCAGTTTATCACTACTAAGGTGTGGATGAGCTGTGGGTGGAAGCAAGCCCCTTTACTTCCAAAACATTTCTACCAACAGGAAGTGACAGCCAGTCAAATTCCGACACTGTACAATGTGATATAGAAGGTGAATGTTAGTTTTGTCTCCAAGACAACACCTATGTTAAAAATGGGTTTTGCGGCATCACGTTTAAGCTTCAATCCTCAAACATAAAAAAAAATAAAAATAAAAATAAAAACATTACTGTCAGCACTACAGACAACCTTTAAAGTGAGTGTTTGAAATGCATTCACACTAAAAAGAATTGAATTTAACTTAGTTTCTCTGGGGTCTTTCAGGCACCAGCAGCTTTCAAGTCCCCTGGAGTTCCTACGCAGCTCCACTAGAGTTGCAGTTATTTTGCTGTGAATTAAACGTCCTTCCTCAGACAACTGTACATCACAATCATGACACTTTTCTCCTGCTAAAAGTCAGGATTGAGAACATTTAAACTTGGGACATGACTGAGGCACTGCCTCAGATGACTTACAAGAAAACAATAACATTCAGTTGGTCTTATAGTCTAGTCAACAGGATAATCAACATCTTAAAACTTTGAGGGAAAATTACAAAATTATTATAGAACTACTTTTACAGTACAATATCTTGTGCTGATTAAGGCAACATGTTTAATACTTTCACTGTACCTCAAACTTGTATGTGTTTTTTACTTGGGGGGAGGGGGCAACATAATGAGCCATAAATAGAAGCACTATATTAAACTGATGTGCTAAGAATCACGACATCATCAGTGCTCACCAGAAACAAAGCTACCCTTGAAGCGACTGAGAGGCTGGTTCAAGAGGACACTCTAAGGCCCTGCGAAGACACCCTGAGTTGAGTCTCTGCAAAATGGCAGAGCTTCCTCCGCCTCTTCAGGTCTTCAGGGATCAGTGAAAACAACAGGCTGAGAGCCTGGGCCTCAGAAAACCCTGTCGCAGGGGAAGGGGCCCATCTGGAGGCTGAAGCCGCACGCGCACACCGCGAGTAGCTCGGGAAGGAGGCCGAGAGGAGGACGCGGGGAGGCGAGTCGGAGAGCCCAGTCCGGAGGCTGGGCCGCCCCTGGACGCTGGGAGCTCCCTTCCAGTCCCGCACCGTCGGCTTCGGACGAGTGCGGGGATCAGGAGACAGGCGCTGACCTGTCGCCGCCGGCCCGGCCCTTACCTGAGTAACTCAGGACGCGTCAGGCGCGGCGAGCCCCGGCTGCTCCCCGAGGGCAGCAGCAGAGTCGGTCACGGGGACTCCTCTGCCGCTGCAGCTTTTCATTCCCTCTCCTTCGCTACTCCAGAGGAAGAGCGAGCAGCACCTGAGGACAGGCGGGAGTGAGGCAGGCGTGAGGCGAGAAGCTCTGGAATGGAGTTCAAACGGAGGCGGCCATCTTGGCTTCCCGTCGTGCTTTGCGCTGGGCCAAGCGGGAGCAGGACCTCGCGGGGCGGGGCCTCAGGAGCCGGCCTAGCTGGAGGCGCGAAGCTGCCCAGCTCTCCTGGCCCCTGCGCAGTGAGTAGCGGGAAGGATGCTGGGGCCTACCTGGCAAGGTACCTCCTCCTTAGGACAGCAGCCCAGCTGAGAAGCAGGACTATTGTGACAGGACCCTCCTGGCGTTCACATCTTCTCCAGGGCATGTCAGTACGAGCCTGAACCTCCTTCTATGATCTAGCTGACTTTCCTGCTAGTTTTACGGATCCCCAAATGAGAGGTACCTGCCTCCAAGCTTGGGGGAGAGAGAGGGGCTGCTGATTTTCTTTCTTTGCCAGTACACTTTAACCCTGTGGGGCATGAACCCTTTGAAAAGTTGATGAAAGGTATGGATGCCTTCACAAAAACATTGCCTGCAATTTCTGAGCTTCAGAGACACTCCCCTAGGTGATTCCTAAACCTGGGTTAAGAACCCCAGTTTTACTCAGCCCTCCGTGTCTGTGGATTTAACTGTACAATATCACACTTAAGGAAACTAGAAAATTTCCTTGAATTCTAATCTTCCTTTGTGCAGTATCTCTGGGTTAAAAGTATTGATAGGCATCCTATTATATTACCTAAGGAATAAAGTTCAAATTCTTTATCCAGAAATGTAAAATTGGCTGAAACTTTATTCTGCACTAAAATGGTCTCCAGGAAGTCCCCAAGCACCTTGCACTTTGTGGCTTTGGTATGTGGGTTCATTTTTGTCACATCATTAGGAATGTCAACCTTCAGAGTTTAGCTCACAGGCCTCTTCTCAGATTTCACTCCCAGAGGAAGGAGCCTGATGAGGATTCAATGCTTGTGTCCCCCGAGATTCCTATGTTGAAACCTAAAGCCCTGTTTGGAAGTGGGACCCTCAGGAGACACTTAGGTCCTGAGGTGGAGCCTTCATTAGGGGGATTAGTGCTCTCATAAAGGAAAGGACTCCACGGAGCCCTTCCACCAAGTGAGGACACAGCAAAAAGACAGCCGTCAATGAGCCAGAAAGCAGGCCCTCATCAGATGCTGAATCTGCCAGGGCCATGATCTTGAACCCCCACTTCTCCCACCAGCTGCCTGGTGAGGTAGAAATACACTTTTCACCTGTTTGTTGGAACCGTAGAGGAAAACATTTATGCTGTCTTTGCATTTTGCTAGTTTTAACTGTTTAACTACCTCCCCAGGTATCCTGTGGAACAGTCAGCTAGGTTGTCTTTGCAGACCTTCTCCAAGCCTTACCCATCATCACACTTGGTAGGGGGGTTTGTACAAAAAATGGGGTGTGATTAAGGTATTGGCTACATTTTTCTGCAATGTGTCATCTCACAGAGCACAGCAAACTATGGTAAGCTGGCCAGGTCAGCAGTTGTGGCCTTATTCATCTCCTTAATATCCCATAAAGGGGGCCATCTTCCTCAGTCATTCAGTCTGTCACTTCTGTTGGATCTTGACATGATTCAATTCTGCTGCCATTTCCACAATGCTGCCAGGAACCTCCTCCCTGTGTCCCAACAGACCGTGTTACCATGTGTCCCCGAAAATAAGACCGGGTCTTATTCATTTTTGCTCCAAAAGACACATTTTATTCATTTATTCATGTACAAAAATTTACATTTATTCAAATACAGTCATGTCTGGGACTTATTTTGGGGTAGGGCTTATATTACAAGCACCCTGAAAATCATGCTAGGGCTTTGTTGGGAGCCATGCAGACTGGCTTTACTGTAGTATAACTTGTTTTGCTTCTTGCTCCTTTCTGCACCTAGAGGATGCTTACTTAACCTTGAGGTATGTGGTGAGAAGGCCAGTTCCTTAAAAGACACAATAAGAAAGAGGGCTGTCTGGGTTTGTGGAAGATAGTTTCCTGGGAAACTGACCCTCTAAATTTTCCACTGACCTTCAGGTTTCTAGTTGGTAACTAATAATGTACTTTTAATGAGGTTATGCATATTCATCCCTTCTGTGTTGCATGTACTCTGGAGGTATAATATGATGGGGAGGAAAAATAAACTCGTGGCTGGTTGCTAAGAATGCTTCCAGTCCTCCCGGATCCTCTTTGTCTCTTTGTCTCTTTATTTCCTTAAACCTCGCCCCCCCACTTCAGGTACTGTTCACTGGAACGCTGAGGCAGGACCCCGACAGGGCTTATTTTCCGATTAGGTCTTATTTTCGAGGAAACACGGTAATGTGTGAGGACTGCCGTACCATAGGACCTCAGATGGGGTGGATGGACCTCGATGCAGATCAGAGCCAGCAGGGAGGCAAGAATGCCCAAAGGGTTTCCACTGTGGAACTGGGAAGCTCCTGAGTGCCGATCCTGCAATACTTGTATATGTAGCAATATTTGATGTAGCCAAGCGGGGACAACTCCGCATCTCTGGACATCCAGTGGCCCAAAGTGCACTGACAGTCACCCTGAAGAGCTGCACGTTTGCAGCAAGGGTTGCAAATCTGGATTTTCTACATTCTTTAGCTCTGAAATCTGCTTGCTTCTTTTTTTCAAATTTTTTATGTTCTGTCTGTTTGTTGAACTTCTCGTTTTGTTCTTGTACTGTTTTCCTCCTGTTGTCAGATTGTTTACCTGTGTTCTCTCAGCTGCTGTAGAGTGATTATTCCAATACTTTCTTCGCTGTACCAAGGCAGCTGAGTTTCATTTTGTATGTTGTACCTTTTGTTCCATGTCAGAGCCAATCCATCGAACAAGCTGTTACAGGTCTTTGTACCCCCTTGAGATATGACATCAAAGACCATGTCTGCATAATGGGCCCCAAGCAACACATTGCACCTAATCCAACTGCATGTTCCTTCCACCGTCATCCCAAATCCTTAACATCCCATTTCTCCTGTTTTCCTAGATTTCTGTCAATGTGAACTTGGGAAAGGGTGCAGCTCATTTGGGGTATAGCTCAAGTCCTCATAGGTCACATGTTGTACCGCACTCTTGGGACCTGCTGGGAGCTGAGTCTGCTAACAGGTCAGGAAGCAGAGAGGGCTGTGGGCGCAGGTCCTGAGCAGGGTCATAGAGCCTTGCAAGGCAAGTACCTCGGAGGTGATCCTTGTGGATTCAGGAGAAGCAGAGGCAAGCTCCTCAGGCAGGAGTGGGAGGGATTCTTCTGCACAAAGAAGACTCTGTATGGGTTTGGAGTTCAATGTCCCTGCTTAACCAGGAACCACCCATGTATCCCCATTCCGATTTTTAGGACCCCCATTTCTTCTAAATCAACACTATCACTTTCACTGCCGTGTGGACAGGCATTCGATTTTGGTTGTAATTCACCCACTTGCAAGATGAGACTGGATTAGGTTTTCAGAAATCTCAGCTCTAAAGCTATAGGAAGTAAGAGTTTCAGGGAAGATATAGAAATTTCTCAGCATCTAAGTGGTGCTTGCATTGGAAATTGGACACCTCAATTTCATCTTTTTCTTTCCTCATTCAATCAAGGGCAAGTAGAAACAATCACCTAATTCCATCACATTTGTTAGTTGGTAAAACGTGATCTAAAATATCAAATTCATGGTCACCTAGAACCTTTTTTAAAATAAATATTTGATTAGGAATATCCAGTGGTGATCCTTTGTATATCTCTATTACCACATTGTACCGTGGACTGTCAATGCCTTCTTTAACCCTGGCAATATCGTCATTAATGCCTTTATATTTAATCAGATTAGAGAACCAATTCCAGAAGATCCAGAACTTCTTGAGAAAACACATCTTTAAGATCCTGTTCCTCTAGAACCAACCTGTTTACCAAAATCTGTATCCGTCAGAGTTCCTCAGAGAGACAGAACATGTATATTTATAGCATGAACATACGTGTGTATATAAATACATGTATGCATATGTACATGCACAGAGAAACACATATAGAGAGATTTATTTCATGAAATGATTCTTGTCCTTATGGGGCTGGCAAGTTTAAAGTCTATAGGGCGGGCCAGCAGACTAAAAGCTCAGCAAGATTTTGTATGTGTTGTGAGGCGTAATTTCTTCTTCATCAAGAAACCTCAATTTTTCCTCTTAAGGGTTTCAGCTAAGTAACAGAGCCACCCCCATTTTCAAGGGTAATAACCTCCAAAGTCAACTGACTGCAGATGTGTTTGGTCAGATAACGGGGCACTATAGCCCAGCGAACTGACACATAACACTAACCATCACACGTTGCAAGAGTTCTTTATCTGTATAAGTACTAGACCTTTCACAGAGATCCGCTTTGCTAATATTTCCTCCCAATGCATGATTGTCTTTTTCGGTCCTGATAGTGTCCTTTGAGACACACGATTTGGGCATATTTATGAATTTCAATTTACCTATTGTGTCCGTCGTTGCTTGTGCTCTAGAGGTTGTATCTAAGAATCTATCGCCAAGTCCAAGATCGTGTGTGATACATATTCCTTTGTTTTCTTAGAATTTTATAGTTTTAGCTCTAAAATTTAGGTTGTTTTCCCAAAGGTGGCGCTAAAGCTCAAGTTTGTGGTCTGCCCCTGGCCGGGAGAATCCGGCCAGCTTTCCGCCGGAGCTCGGAGCCCTCGGCCTGAGCTCGGTCCCGCCGCCGCCCGTGGAGGGCACAGAGGGCGCCGGACGCAGGGTAGAGGGTGTGGGCGAGGCATGCGGCGCACTAGGGGTGCCGCGCGGCAATCGAGGGTCCCCGGGCAAGGCGTCCAGCTAATAAGATCCGTATCCCTTTCATGCCCTCCCAGAGTCCTACGTACAGCAATCCCTGCCTTTTCCCGCCCCGCTGATGCCACTCACAAGTCAGTCCTTTTGACGGGCCAAGAGAGAAGCCAGCCCCTGAGGCGCAGTCCCGCACGGCTGGGGAAGCCAAATTCGTCGTATTACTATTATCATTCAAGCTGGAACTTCTCTGCTGGGGACCTGGGCTCCCAAGAAGCCTCTCTGGTCCGTGCGTGATTGTCTAAGGCAGTGTTTTCCAGGGGCTCCTGGACCGCGGCCGGGTGGGGAGGGGCTGGGCTGACTCAGGGCCACCGCAGGGCCCAGGTCCAGGGCCCCGGGACCCAGGTCTGTCTGCCTCTTACCAGAGCACGGGTGAGGGAGACTCTTCCCGGTCCCCAGCGAGTGTGCTGGATCCCACAGCCCGCATGGACGCGCTCTGGTCCGTGGATGCATGTTGAACTGTTCCTGTTCTTCCTGAATTGTCACTGGCGGTGGAGGGACAAAAAACGAGGCATGTTTTATGCCCCCGTGACGCTGCCTCCTTTGAAATGTCACCTTTTGATTTCCTAAGTTCCTACATATAAGTCACTCTGTTTCTGAACCCCCTGGTATATGTCACTGATTTTTTTTTCTCTTGAAGAAATGCCATGCTTTCGGTATGCTAAACTTTTTCATATGTTTTCATACCCAGTAGCACACTTCTCTCCTCATTGCTGCCTTTTGAAATATTCTCGAAGCTGTTTTTGCAGACTTTTCCATTAGAATCAGCTGTGCAAATGCTAGAACAAATACTACTTCAAACTTGGGCTGGCCATGTATTGAATTTATACTGTAGATTCATTTGGAGGAAAATGAATGTTATTTGCAATTGTGAGTTCTCCCACTCACAGATCTGCTGTATCTTTCCATTTGTCCTGT